TTTTTTTCTTCTGAATTCTATGCAGAGATTTCCATGAGTTCCTTCCCGAGAGGAAGTATCAGTTATCACGTGCATGTGAGAGCTGTGTCCAAGTAAATTTCTTTGGGTTGATTTGAGGAAATAACCTGAAGGAATCAAACCTTCAGCTCAAACCATACTGACTTTTTTGACAGATTCTTAAAATTGTACTGAAGCCAGGCTTCAAAGGGGAAACAGAGTTCAAAATTAAAGTTCCCTCCTTCCCTTCTTCCCTCTTTTTTTTTTTGTAATCATTCAGAAAATAGTTTAAAAGTTTACCTGATCTGAAACAGTGAGGTTTTTTATGACACAATTTTCATTTTGAAATCCAGGTTTTAGGCCATGTCCATTAGTTTCAAAGCATCTGTAAGCATAAGCAGAGATGGAACTCAGAATACCAGGAATGCAGATGCAATGAATGCTATGGATTCTTAAATGCATTGTTTTTCCCTTACATTTTATTTTTGATATTTCTATGAAGTTTTCTCTCTCTCTTTTTTTTTTTTTTTTTTAGGTTTCTAAAACATTATAGACTACTAAGGACTTACTTTTTTTCCATATTTTCCATGTGTTTACTCTCAGCTCTTACATACTTTCACAGATCTTTCTGATGCTTTAATTAAAAAAATAAAAAAAAATAAAAAAAATAAAAAAAAATTAAAAAATCACTGTATTATGATCAAAACAATATTTCCTCATACTAAAATAAGTGGTTATCTTTCTTTCAATGTTATTAAATCCACAGTGTACAAAGAAGTAGGAAAGATTAGTGGTTTTTTTTATGTCCCCCCTTTGGTTAAAGCCCACTTGGAATGGAACTAGTTCTTTGATCTTACAGACTAGACTCTCTTCTGTGTTGTATCTACACTGAAAGTGCTGATATTACTTTAGAGTTATAGTGATGAGGAGCACTTAGATATACTATAATGTAGAGGATATCAGAATGGCTGCATGAATTAGATAAACAATTTCTAGGATAGATTTTGAGACATGCTATCAAATGGCTTAATAAATTAAAATTTCATAATATCTGATGTATTCCTTTCCTATACTGGCCTTATAATTTTAGTCATAGAAATGATCATATTTATCTGGATCAATTTGTTCTTTTTGAGATCTGACTGATTATTGCTCATAGGTTCATTGCCTCAATTACTTTTGCAAATTTTTTTTCTGCCTTACTTACATTCTGGAAAAGTAAACATTTTTCTTGGCTTCTATTTCCAAGTTCTGGCAGTTTCATGGTCAGTTTGCGAGACTTGTTTCCAACAAATTAAATTCATATGGAATTGGGTACTTGATACAAAAAAGACAGGGACATCTTGGAAAGAGTCCAGCAGAGGGCCACAAAAATGGTGAAAGGCCTGGAGCATCTCCCCTATGAAGAAAGGCCGAGTGAACTGGGTCTGTTTAGCCTTGAGAAAAGACGACTGAGAGGGGACCTCATCCGGGTTTATAAATATCTGAGGTGTGGGGGCCATAGTGGTGAGGCCAGTCTCTTTTCAGTGGTGCGTGGAGACAGGACAAGGGGAAATGGACATAAGCTGCAGCATAGGAAGTTTTGAACAAATGTGCGCAAGAACTTCTTTATGGTGAGGGTGACGGAGCACTGGAACAGGCTGCCCAGGGAGGTTGTGGAGTCTCCTTCTCTGGAGATATTCAAGTCTTGCCTGGACACCTACCTGTGCGACCTGGTTTAGGGAACCTGCTTTGGCAGATAGGTTGGACTCGATGATCTCTGGAGGTCCCTTTCAATCTCTACAATTCTGTGATTCTGTAATACAATCAAGAACTAGGATAACCAGTATTTTATTCTGAATTTCTCTCTTACAAAAAGCCAGTAGCTTTAGCTTAAGATTCAAACATAGTTCTCCAGCATACTCGCAGGAAAGACTCAATGCTTTTCAAGCGTAGCTTCTTTTTCAAAGTGTTATGCCATAGAAAATGACTTGATTTTACTTTTTTTTTTTTTTTTTTAATCTATTCAGTATATTTTCACAATACCTGAAACCTCAATATAAAATATGAACATTTCAGAACAGTTAAATGAGTCTTTGATGGGAAGAAAATTGGCAACATTTTTTGCCTGTGTTATTTCTATGCACCAACAGAGAAGTAGTAGGAAAATAAAGTTGTGTGGTGTAGTTAAAATGTGTTTTCAGTAAAACTCTGGACAAAATCTGAAAATAGTTTGTTAATGACATTAGACAAGGTGGAAAAGAACTGGTTGCCTGTGCAAGGTGATACAGAATAATTTCAGACTCAGTAGAGCATCCCAACTAATTTCACATATAACTTTCCTGAAGTTGTATAATCTGGCTTTGTGAAGGTGTTCTGGATACCGTATAGTGTTACAAAATGGGCACCTATGTGTAAATGTATGAGTGCCCTTGCTAAATGTTTTGTGGTCCAAGTATTTATCTTGTTTCTGCCTTGGTTTCAATATGTGTAAAATAGAGGAGTAGAATTTAACATTTCAGAGTTTTTTAGAGACGTGAACAAGAATTTCTGTTTATAAGTTGGAAGCTTCAATTATTTTCTTTTTCTCAGAGAAATATTTTTTTCTTCTGTTTTAACCTTTTCATAGTTATCATATGGGAAACTATTACCTAATCCCTTAACAGAAGAGGAAAATATGTACTTAACAGGTGTGAAATTTCCCCTCAGAGTTCTCTATCATCTATCATCTATTGAAAAGGCAAAGAAGACATTTCCACCTGTTTCTACAAAATTGAAATGGTTTCCAGTAAAGTCTCCAGGCAGCTGGTCCAGAACTTGAATTCTACGGGGCTGAAGGAATTAAAAATAAAGGTTTAATAAAAACAATAATTAATTTTTTTAAAAAAACTAAACTTATTTACTTGTTTAACTTATTAAACTTCTTAACTAGTAAAGGAAAATAATGAAGTTAGTGCTCTCAGAACAGTCCAACTTGGCAACCATCTCAACTTTTCTTCCCAGAAATGAAAACTATAGTAAATAAAATTTGACCTTTTAATGGATCTTAGATATTTGTTAATCAAATTACATGAAACTTCATGAACTTGATTTTGTAAGGCATTGGGATCATTATTTTGTTTTTTAAGTGGTTCTACTTCTTAATGATACTAAGAAATCTGAAAGCTAAGGTGAGTAGTCAGGAAACAAAAACAAATCCCTAAAGAAAAAAGTCCTCCACTATGAAATCTCTATAATCATTTCTGGAAAATAATAATTAATATAATCATACATTTCAGACCTTTTAATTTTCATAAGATTCATAATAGGAATTGAAAGAAGCTTTATGTTCTTTTTTAAAATAATACTTTTCACTATTATATATAATAAAAATAATATATAATATATACTATTGAAAATGTTCAATTTTACATTTTATTGGCACACTCAAAGATGTATGTACATACAGAGAAGGTAAGGTATCTTACATTCCTTGAGATCTATTCAGGATCAGAATACTTAGACATAATATGTACATGTAAAATATGTACCCACACATCAGTCACACAGAGAAGTTTGCTGATTAAATGACATTTTTTAATTATTAAAACTGAGGTAATCATATGATTCTAAAGAAAGTGTGTTCAGGGAGTTCAGGTAGGCAGTTGTGTTCTTTTGGGTAGGTGCACAAAACCAGCAAAAGGGGATAGCAGACTTCTTCCTATTTGAAAATACATCAAAGTCGAGTTTCTGTCTGCTGATACTTGACACCATTGCCGCTACCTCTCTAGTTGGCAAGGTAAACTTTTAGGAGAAAAGCTTAATCTCCCTCCTGCTTGAACTGCTCACCAAATACTGGGTCAGTCCCCTCGTTCCTCCTCTCCCTATTTCCTCAGTTTTCCTCTTTCTCTACTTTTTGAATTTACAATCCCTCTTACCCCTTTATTATCAGTTCTACATTATCTGTTCTCCAAGGTCTTATCTACTTATTTTATTTCAGGTTTTTTTTCCACCCACTTTCTTTTTTCTAATTAACAGAACCTTAAAAGGACTCTTCAGAAACAATTCCAAATCCCAATGTCCTTGCATTAAAACTCTTGTCATTCCTTCTTCTGCATGCTGATCTCTTCACCTAATTTCTCTGAAACCTTCTGCAGTCATCTACTTCTTGTTGCCTTTTCTCAAAATACGAAAGTAGCCATTTCATTCTTTGTTCGGATTTTTTTTTTTTTTTTAATTTTATTTTAGAGCTGTGCTTTCTTCAAGTACTGTACCTCGTCTAATCCTATTAAACAGTATGAGATTATGCCATTCCTATATACCAGCCTCTGCCTCCAAGTATAAAGATATAATTTTAAATGCTTAATTATTAAGCGTACTTGTGTTTTGCAATTTAATCATTCCCTCTCTACGAGCATCAGTGTGACAGTCTTTGACCATAAGTAAGGCTGATAAAATGTTCTGTTTTAAATTACTTATCAGCTATAAATTGGGCTTCACTGGAGGAGATTTCTCCTTCCTGCAGAAAATTCTCAATTTTTGGCAGAATAAAAATAAGTTATCTACAGTTATAATTTAAATCTTCCAAATGAACACAAGTATCATAAAGACAAACTGTTGTCTTTTGCTGATTTCTTGAAATATTCTGTTTCATCAAGTCCAAAATTTGCATGGTGTGAAAAGAAAAAATGTTCCAAATTTTTGTGTGATACTTATTTTGTCATAGTACATTTTTTTCTTCATTCCTTTCAGATCTACAGAGAATAAATTGTCTTTGAAAAAAAAATAAACAACAAGTAAAACAAACCTTGGACTTTTGTTTTACGAATGTCACAATGCAGAGGTGAATGGTGAATTTGGCTGTTCGTTTCTAAGGTAACGAAAATAGTTACTGTAAATGATATGTCACTTTATCAGGGAACAGTAGGATGACACTGTAGCTGGAAAAGAACTGGAAAAGGAGAGGAGAGGAGAGGAGAGGAGAGGAGAGGAGAGGAGAGGAGAGGAGAGGAG